CCTAGCTGTATACACACACACACACAGAGAGAGAGAGAGAGAAAGAGAGAGAGAGAGGGAATGAGGACTAAAGCACCACACGGCAACCCTGTCCATCACTCTGGGATTAATCCAAGTATCACTCTATTTACTTATGGACCTCCACTGCACACTTGCTGTAGGTCAGACCCTCTGCTGGGTGCTGGGTGCTGGGTAGGATGATGCCTAAGACCTGGTTTCTCACTTGGTCTGGAGAGGGTGATGGACATGCAGGCAGTCACAGTGCACTGGGGCTGTGCCAGGATGAGGTGAGCACAGAGCAGCCTGGAGCAGAGAGATGAGGCCCCGGAACCTGGTCAGGGAGGGTTTGGGCGTCATACAAGCAGAGTATGAGCTAAGAGCTGAAGTAGGATTTATTCAGTACAGTGCTGAAACTGCTCGATGCATAAAGAAAAGGTGGTATATATATATATATACGTACTCACCTATAAGAAAGAGGGAAATCTTGCCATTTGCAGCAACGTGGATGGGCCTTGAGGGTATTATGCTAAGTGAAATAAGTCAGACAGAGAAAGACAAATACTGTATTATCTCACTTATATGTGGAACCTAAAACAAAACAAAAACAAAAAAACTGAGCTCATAGATAGAAAATAGACTGGTGGTTGCCAGAGGCAGCAGGTGGGAAGAGGGGTGACATGGGTGCAGGAGGGCCAAAGGTACAAACCTCCAGGTGTAAAATAAAGGAGTCCTGGGGATAGTTAATAACATTGTATTGTATGTTTGAAAGTTGGTAAGAGAGTAGACCTCTTAAAAATTCTCATCACAGAAAAAACAACTGTAACCATGTATGGGGATAGATATTAACTAGACTTATTGGGGTGATTTCGCAATATATATGAATATCGAATCACTGTGTGTACACCTGAAACTACTATAATGTTACATGTCAGTTATACCTCAGTAAAAGAAAAGAAAAAGAGTGTTCTAGATATGTGCAAAGGCCTAAAAGCAAGAGAAAGCAGGGCACATTCTGGGAGAGAGGGAGTGTGCGAGTGTGTGTGTGTGTAGGACTGGAGGAAAGGGGAAGTTTGGTGAGACATGAAGCTGACGATATAAACAGGAGCCACATAATAAAGGGCCCTGAAGCCATATTAAGGGGTCTAAGGACATCAGGCACAACTGAAAGCCTTTAAATCCCCCAGGCTTAAACACAGGGCAATTTAAAGCCCTTCACAGGCCACAGACACTTGGACTATTGGAGGCCCCACCCCCACATCACATCAAACATCATCATAAAATGAATCCACATTACAATTATTTTTAAATAAAAATTTGAAAGGGGTTTTATAACTTCAATTTGGAATTATTAATTTATTAATTTCAATTTTTCAGATTTCCATTGATATTTTGAAGCCAGTGAAATTTGCAGGGGGTGGGAGGTATAGGGGTGACAGGCTCACAGCTCACAGACCCCATGCTCTATCTATGTTATGGTAGCTAATGAAAACAAAATGGTGACATGATCAGACTTATGATTTAAAAGGATCCCACTTTCAGGGCACCTGGATGGCTCAGTTGGTTAGCATCTGTCTCTTGATCTCAGCTCAGGATTTGATCTCAGGGTTGTGAGTTCAAGCCCCACACTGGGCTCCTGGCTTAGCATGGAGCCTACTTAAAAAAAAAAAGAAAAGAAAAAGATCACGCTTTCTAAATCATTGAGTGGAAGCTGTTCAATGGGTATGGGATTTCAACTTTGCAGGATGAAAAAGTGCCAGAGATCTGTTGCATAACAATGCGCTTATAGTTAACACTACTATACTGTCCACTTAAAAATCTTTCAGATGGTAAATTTCATGTTATTTGCTTTTTTTTTTTTTTAATCACAATAAAAGGAAAACAGAGTGAAGATTAGATCAGAAGGACCAGCCCTGGGTTGCCAGCTAGGAGCAGCTGTAATATATCTGGCAGATGGTCAAGACCGAAACTAAAGGAGGGACAGGGAATGGACAGAATTAGGAGAATTATAATATTTAAGTTTAGAAGAATCAATAGGAATTGGATGTACTGGGTCTGAGAGCGAGTCCCAGGAGGCAGACCGAGGCACGAGGCAGACCAGGGCAGGACCTAGACCAAAGATTGTGGCTTAATGGAATCCAAGGGAAGATTCTTTCCACAGGAGGGAATGGTCAGTGGGGTTGGGTTGGGAAGCCTCAGGTTAGTTGGGACATGTGCTGTCAGTAGGGGTGTGGCAGGGAGTGGAGGGTGTTTGGAGCGCAGAGGGTGTCTGAGGCAGGTTATATTCATCCCAAGGCGTCACATCCCTCCCCGAGCCTCACTGGTCTCTTCCTCATTCATTCATCTTCCGGGCTGGTGAAGCTCAAGGGACAGGTGCCCAGGATTGAGGGGCAGGTGCACTATGGCCTGGTGATGGTGGGGGGCATGTTGGGGTAGAGGGGTTGAGGGAGGTTAACCAAAGATGTCTTCCTGGGGAAGGAGGGTCTGAGCCAGGTTTGGAACCATCATAGGGTGAGGCTCAGTGGGGTAGAGAGGCGGGAACCATCCCCCACATGTCCTCATGACCCCACAGCTCAGCCAATATCTCATCCTCAGGAGTAGTCTCTGAGTGACGGGAGAGTGTGGAGCCATGGAGGCCAGAGGAGACTGTCTTTCCCGTGGCCGCTGACGAATGCCCCCTCATTTGGGGGAGGTCAGATCTGTGGGGCTCGCTTTTTCACCATCATGCATGCATGCACGCATTCATCATTCATTCCTCTGTTCGTGCATTCACTCACTCCTTCGCTTGTTCGGCATTTATTAAGCACCACAGCAGTACGACCCAGCCCAGGGATGGAAGCATGAATAGGGCACAGTCCTCGCCCACATATGACACACAAGCTTCGGGGAGGTAGACGGTCACGCTCCAAAAAGTGTTCCTGGTGCTATGAAAAATGTCTGTACGGAGTGCACTCAGGGGACAAAGTGGAGAGTGGTCACATCAGGAAAAGTGTGTCAGGGAAAGCTTCCAGAGAGGAGCTGAGCCTGGCGTTAAGTCCCCAGGCAGGAAAGGGAGGGACACTGGAGAGAGCGTGGGGCTGTGAGTGGCCCAGCACCGTCGGCAGCCCCGGTGGGGACCGGTAACCCATCCACACTCGGAGCGCCCTTCACGGGCTTCAATGAACACCTGAAATGACACCATTCACTCTTCTGTTGTTAAGCATCAACCTGACCAGCGTACTTGTAAAAACACAAACACCTGCTACTGTAGGAAACGTAGCACCTTGAGTTACAAGGTGTCCCACCGCCTGATTCAACCAGAGCCCTTGGCCTTGGGCAGAGGCTCCTGGTGCTCATGGCTCTCAGGACAGAACACAGCCCACCTCCATCCCCCACCCTTCCCCACATTACTGCCCAGCTTTAAGGGCAGAGAAGAAAAGATCCTAACTGTCCTGACCCCAAGAACAGGGTCTGATGGTCTGTGTCCTTCCCTCCCAACCTCCCGGGAGGGAGTCAGGGTGTAATCTGAGGCCTTACCGGTGATGGGCTTAGGCTGAGTGGAGGATGATAGTTTTTTTTTTTTTTTTTAATTTTTTTTTTAATTTATTTATTCATGAAAGTCAGAGAGAGAGAGAGAGAGAGAGGCAGAGGCAGAGGGAGAGAAGCAGGCTCCCCGCCTAGCAGGGAGCCCGATGCGGGACTCGATCCCAGGACCCTGGGATCATGACCTGAGCCGAAGGCAGACGCTTAACCGTCTGAGCCACCCAGGCGCCCAATAGTTTTTAAACATGCTAAATATAACTGTTGCTAAAGAAATTGGTGGTTCATAGGTAAAGAGAAGGTTTCATTGGTGCCACCCCAGAAGGTTATTGCTGCCCCATAATACTTTTCCTATTGGTGTCTGATTCTCCAGCATTAACAGTTCATTTCTTCACAGGGTGGTGGGAGGGTTGCCTGAAAATGTGTGTGTCTCCATGCCTCATGGCTATGTTGTTGAGACTGAGTTCATCTGATCACTTTTCTTGGCATCTGGAAGGTCTGGGCAGGGAGACCACTGGTGCATGGAACAGGGAGCTCCCTGGAGGGGGAAAGGCATAGACAGGGGAGTTGGGGCTTCTGGAAGACCCACTTCAGATTTTGGCCCAGGAATGGCCCTCACCTTCACTGCTGTCAGAGGCACAAACCCACTTCTGACAGGCATCAGGGTATGCCTGAGACGGCAGTTCATTTATCCATCCACCCATTCATCCATCTATCCACCCATCCAGTCAGCCATTCACCAAACCTGTATTGTGCAAGACCTTGTGGAAATATGATGAGTTAAGGTCCCTGCTCCTGCAGCCAATGCTCCTTGCACACGTCTCTCCTGTACCTTGGCTGGGTCCTCCACCTGGGACACTCTCTCCATCAGTCCATGTGTCTGAAGCCGGCATTCCCCCTTCAGCCTGCTCTTGTCCACAAGCCTTCTATGACCCCCTTCATCCCCTGGAGTCACTCTTTCCCCTCCCCATCAGTACCCACACTACGCTTCACTGCTCCTGTTTACCTCTTTCCACTGATATCTCCCTGACATGCTTTCCTGTTTGTGTTCCTCCACAGATGTGTACACAGTGCTTGATTAATGCTCTGAATGAATGAATGAATGAATGGTAGGTAAGTTGGGTTCTTTGCAGGTTGAGGTCAACCCCATACAATTCCAAGCTTCCTTTATCAGCAGGTTGGGGCATTAAGAAACTCAGGGTGTTTTCCTTTTAGGTTGACAGAAGATGTAGTCATGTATTTTTTCCCCTTAAATTGTAGGGATAAGATTGTGCTCAGCCATCCACAGTATATTTTCTTCTGTGTTTGGAGTTTGCGGGGATTCAGGAGGCAGCTTCTCTGGGATCAGCCATCAGGATGCATTAGGGATCGTTAAAACCATGAGACTATTGTACTTTTATGTGGTGCTTAGAGCGCCCCAAGTTTATTCACAACTGCTTCTCACGACAGCCCAATCTTGTCTTCCAGAATTAGAAATGATGGCTCAGAAAGGTTAAGCAACTTCCTCCGGGCCACCCAGCTGTGAGGGAGGAACAGGTCCCAGCTCTCCTCCTTCCCCCTTGCTCTCCCCACCCTAACCGACAGAGGGGCCCCAGAAGGACACACTCCTGCCCTGTCTCAGCAGGGGCTGGGGGGGCCATGTCCCTCATCCCCTGGCTTCGGTGGAATGAAGCCCCGAGGCTGTCCTCCCGGAGGCCGGCCGACACGGTGCTGGAGACGCTCATGATGGAGCTGGCGGGGCAGATGCGAGAGGCCGAGAGGCAGCAGTGGGAGCGCGGCAATGCAGTCAGCAAGATCTGCACCGGGGTCGACTACAGCTGGCTGGCCAGCGCACCCCGGCCCACCTACGACCTGAGCCCTGGTGAGCGGCTGCAACTAGAAGACGTCTGTGCCAAGATCCACCCATCCTACTGTGGGCCCGCCATCCTCAGGTAACCCCTGCACGGGCCTGGGGCCCGGCGGGTGCACGGTAGGCTCCAGGCATGTGGCTGCAGGGGCGGGGGCCTGACGCCACCAGGACTGGAGCCAGGGCACCTGGATGACCCAGTGATCTGTTAAAAGGAGCAAGGCAGAAGGAGGACTCTGCAAGAGCCCACAGAACGCCAGGCCAGAGCTAGGGGTTCAGAAGGAGGCTGGAGGCAGCTCCTGGAGGCACATGACTTTTGATGGGAGAGAACCCCAGGCCTTTGAGCTTTCTGTTCTCCCTGGATTATCATTACCCTGGATTTTAACACAGCTGACTCTTTCTCCTTCATCAGTTCATCATCTATATTACTGTCTTAGAAAGGTTTTCCAGATAATCTTACCAAAATTCAGTTTTTCATTAACGTAGGTGACACTAGCATTCATAATAATTTGCCTCAGGGGACTGTGCATGTGTGCGTGTGTGTGTGTGTGTGTGTGTGAAGTATATTCAGAGGCCTGGGGCATTGAACATGTACAGATTTAGAGCTTGGGTACCACAGTGTTCCTGAGTATAAATGTAACCTTAATAAAGTTCTAACCCACATGACCCAGTCTCGGTTGGGTTCATGTTGAAGTCGAAGAAATGTAGTCCAACAACCAACAATAATTTCAAAAGTTACCCAAGTTCTTCATCTGCACTTCTCAAACACTAGTAAAGGAATATGGATCCACAATAAAACATCTGAACATCTCCCAAATCTTCAGTCACCCATCTCTTTAACCAATGTAAACATCTATTATACCCCTTTTTTCTTGGGAATTCTCCTTAAAACTCCTTCTCCTTAAACTCCTTCTCTTTCTCCAGCCCTATCCACACCCCATTGGATTTTGTAGTCTTTTTCACCCCCTCCCTCCTTTCTTCCTCCAGGCTAAGAATCTTACCCCCTCCAGGTTCTCTTGTTCCGTACTATGGAATCCCCCTAAAATGTACCTACTTCCAGAAGCACCTGGGGATGGGGGAGATGGGGGAAGTGAGTCATGGGGGTGGTGTTGACTAGAGAATCCAGGCTGGTAAACCAAACCTCATAAATGAGGGGGAGGTCGGGGACACACATATGATCATGATTGTTCCCCCACATTTCCTGTCTCACTGCGGAAAAGTGTGAGAATTCCCGACTGGCAATATGGTGGAGGAAACCATTAAGTGGACTTGCTAATAACCATCCTTCCCTTTGAGCTCTCAGCAAAGACATTTTAGGCAGAGGAAAACCTCACCCAGCAGGTAGCCAAGGGCTATGGAAGGATTATCACAGGGCAGTGATACCATCAGACATTTCGAAGAGATTACTCTGGCCACCAGGGGGAGAAGGGTGGGAGAGGTTAGCCAGAAAGCCTCCAACAGGTAAGGCCAGGTCATGGCATTGATAATCTGGCATCGATAACCCGAGGTCAATGTCAGGATCTTTACATATGTTAGCTCATAAGCCCCACAGAATGGTAGCTATGACCCCAGTTTACAGATGAGAAAGCTGAGGCCCATAGAGGAAGTAGCAGAGCAGGGATTTGAAGTCAGCCCCGGCTGGAGCAACAGGGAGGTGCGGTGGTCTCTGATTGACGTCAGGAGTGAGGAGGTGGCGGAAAGGGGAAGTGACCACTGGGCGTGCACAGGAGGCGGTTTAGACACCTGCTCTGCGCCACACCACATGACTCACCCGCAGCACCTCTCCTGCTCTGCGCACAGGTTCCGGCAGCTGCTGGCCGAGCAGGAGCCCCAGGTGCAGGAGGTGTCCCAGCTCTTCCGCTCGGTGCTGCAGGAGGTCCTGGAGAGAATGAAGCAGGAGGAGGAGGCCCACAAGCTGACGCGGCAGTGGAGCCTGCGGCCCCGCGGCAACCTGGCGCTGGCCACCTTTAAGACCCGCGCGCGCATCTCCCCCTTCACCAGTGACATCCGGACCATCTCGGAGGACGTGGAGCGGGACATGCCGCCGCCACTCCGGACCTGGAGCATGCCCGAGTTCCGGGCGCCCAAAGAGGACTGACCCATGCCTTCCCCTGCCCAGGAGCTGAGCCACCTGCGGGAGGGCATGATAGGCCGGTGACTGGTCCCGAGTCCTGGAACCTCCCCACCCGCCCTTGACAAGGGGCCCAAGAGGTGGCCCCATCCCAAGACATTCCTGTAAGATGGAGCAACCCCTCCGGGCCCGCACTCCCCCATCAGCTGCGAGGCTGATTGAATGAACTTTTTTTTAGGGTTAGGGCTTGGAGCAACAGCGATCCCCTCCCTTTAAATCTTGTTATTATAAAAATTTTCAAACAGGAAAGTATAGCAAAAAGTGTAAGAACCCTCTATATGCCAATCACCAAGGCTTAGTAGTTATTAACATTTTGCCATATTTGCTTTAATCTATTTTTTGGTGAAGTCCTTTAATATAAATCCCAGACAGCATGACATCTCAGCCCTGAACCCTTCAGTATGCACTGCAAAGGAAGAAGGAAAGTTTCCTGTGTAACTCCAGTGCTGTACTATCCCTCCCAATGAAATTAACAGTAATTCCTTAATACCATCTAATATCTAGTCCATATTCAAATTTCACTAGCTATTCCCAACAAGTGATTTTTGCAGTTTTATTTCTTTGACTGAGGATCTAATCAAGCCCCACAAATTGGCATGAAATTTGTAATTTGTTTTATACGTGGTCATATAGAGTTTATTTAATTTCACAATGAAGAATTGCTTAAATAGAAGGTATTTATGGAACATCAGTGTTAATATGCAATAAGTTAACGACAGCACATAAATGAGGATAATTCTGCAAATTAGCCTAAGGATGCTCTTTATTCAGCTCCTTGTTATTTTCATTTGATTAAAATTGTTCCACACCAACCAAGACTCTCTAATACCTTGAAAAGTAATGTTAAAAATCAATAGTGGCAATATATCTCATTTGACTTTTCATCTGATGAAAATGCTCTCCCTGTCCGTGGGCTTTATTTTCTGAGACATGCTTGCAAATAGCAACCTAAAACCTCCTCTTTCCTTGCCATTTAGAAACAAAACACTAAAATGTATCAAAATAACTTGGCGGGGGGATCTCAAAAATTCTAGTAGTAGGTAATGAAAATAGTTTGTTTATTTTGGATGCCATTATTCAACATGTAGTGAAATCTCAGTCTGTCTTAATATTCCTATGGCTCCCCAGCATAACACAATATGTTATTTCAAAATTTATTCATCGACAAATCATTTTTAGACAGTTATTTTAAATCAGTTTAACACCTCGCATCATTTGTTAAATGGGGAAATTGGCATCTGTTTCTTTTTATGAATGTTATTACATAGAGTATTAAATTAGCATCATTATATTTAGCCAGGTGCTAATCTAAAAATAAAAACATGGACTAAAAATCAGGACTTTATCGTACTCAAGGCAAAAATAACAGAATGATTTTTTAAAGCTTCTAAAAATTGCCCAGAGTTGTTATAGTCTTGAGAAAGGCCTTCATAAGCCAACAAGCGTGTTTTGGAGTGTTTTCTAGCACATTTGATTGTGCTGCATTCCAGTTACAATTACCTTGCTGGAACAAATGCAACATTCCTGAAGCCCTGCAGGCAAACTTGGAAGTTCTCCAGCCCCGTCTCCCCTCCCAGCTAGGATTTGGTGTGCTGAGAATTCCATTCCCAGGAACAAGCTATTCCCCTCTGCGTAGCTGAGTCCAGAGGTTCACAGCTTAGATTCAACTTCTGGCCCCTACTCCGGGCTGCGGGCCTCTGCTAGGCTCTCCCTAAGTGTCCAGGCTCCAGAACACAGGGCAGAGGAGATCTAGTTGAGGTTCTCCTGTCCTTAGAAAAGAAATCAAGGTGCTAGGCAAAGATACTGCTCTGAAGTGTAAAAGGGCCTGGAGAAATACATCTCTTATCCACATAGGCCAGGCCAACAATATTGCTAAGGACAGAAATGGCTCTGTCTTCAAGAAATTCCTTTATTGGGATGGCTGGGTGGCTCAGTTGGTTAAGCGTCTGCCTTCAGTGCAGGTCATGATCCCAGGGTCCTGGGACCGAGTTCCGCATCGGGCTCCTTGCTCAGTGGGGAGTCTCCTCCCTCAGCCTGACTCCCCCCTGCTTGTGCTCGCTACCTCTCTCTGACAAATAAATAAATAAAATCTTTAAAAAAAAAAAAAAGAAAATTCCTTTATTAACATTTGAATGGTCCTTTGCACTTGATCCACTTGATCTCCTTGTGCTCTTGACCGTCAGGCAAGGCGCATTCTGTTTGGTCTCAGGTGATAAGCAAGGGGCCTGCCTAGACCTGGAAGTCAGGGCTCCTTTCACTTGTCTCACTGCTTCTCAGCATTCCAGATAAGGATCTGGATCCCCTCTCAGAACCACACTACTAAGCCTCACCACTGTACCTCTCACACAGGGATGTAAACTTAGGTGGTGTTTCTGGTCACTCCTTCCCCCTCTGGGCCATTCGGCTGCCTCCAATGGTCTGTGAAATCCTTCAGCGCAGGAACCAGGTCTTTCATCTCTGAGTCTCTACCTTCTGGGCACAGAGTAGGCACTTTACAAATGTGCTTAATGGATAGGTGCATGTGGACACCAACTTAGAGGTCAGGGACACAGTGGAGCTGAAGACACCACGAATGAATGAACACTGAGGCATTTAGGATTTATCCACATCATTCATTGGATTCAGTTCTACGAGGCCAGGGTTCATGTCTGATTTGAGTGTGTATCTCCCAGAATATGCCTGGCACATTGTATGTGGTCAATACACTCCTTAAGAATTCATTCATTCATTTATTCATCAAGTATGTGTAGTAACTGTAAAGGAGATGGGGCAGGGGTGCGGTTACCTAAGGGTTCTAGCTGGATAAAACAAAACCGAGCTTTTGGCTCTTCTCTGAATTACTCTGGAAGGCTGCCTGGAGGAGGTAGGATTTCCCAAGGGCATGTTTGGTCAAAATGACCCAAGTGTGTGTGGTCTCGAAATGAACCCAGATGGCTATCATCCCTTCTTCTGCCCGTGCCTTTCCTTGTTCAGTGTAGGCCCTGAGGGAGACACTTCTACTTAGCATTTTGACCTTACTAGAAACAGGTTCTCTGGGAAGAGACAGAGGCAGAAGGACTCTGGAAAGACTGTACTTTCCCTAAGTGCTCAGGCCTAGACCAAATAAATGCTTAAATTAATTCTTTCTGGGATTCAGAAGATGACGCAGAAACCAACAAGGGGAAAGCTCTCCCTAAGGTAAACCACAGAGCGCCGCGTAACTCCAATCAAGTCTGTCAGGGTCCAGAGATAGGGGTACGTGGGTGATTCACCCCCTTTTTCTGTGAAACCTTCTTGCTTTTGTCTGGCGGTGAGGGCTGGGTGGTATGCAGAGGGGTTGGAAGCTTCTGCTCCTCAGAGCAGGCATTTATCATGGAACTGAGAGCAGGGGGTTAGGGGACAGCATGCACGCACCTCACTTTAAGCAAATTCAATTTCAGAGAATCTGCACTTTTGAAAGGAACAGTTCTTGGCCCAACAAAATAATTCCCCATGAAGTTCCTTAAGGGGTACGTACTGAAAATGGGATTTAGTTTACAAAGAACAAAAGTATACTATGAAATCTTGGGGGGACTTATCTCTTGCCAAAAGACATGTACATCTCTAGGCCGATTCATAGGGTCCTACAACCAGAACAAACCTCCAGAGCTCAGGCTGGTCCTGATTCCTGCCTCCAGGAAAAACTGACTTAATCAATCCTTATTGACATCCACTGTATACAGAACTCCATGCCAGGACTTGTAAACACACTGCAGATTTATTATCACTTACAAAAGTGGAGGGTTTACAACCTCTTGGGGACAGGGTCTAGGGCAATGTTGTTGTATTCATCAGGAGTTTTAGTTGGTGGTGAGAGAAACCCAGATCAGATTGGCAGAAAGACCAAAGGACATTTGTGACCCCCGGGGTCAGCTTCACTACCTCTAAAGTCACACAGGGCCCCACACCCAGAACAGCCCATACTTGGTTTAATGCTTTGCTATGGCTGTCTTGAAACTTTTTTTTTCCAAGGTTTTATTTATTTGAGAGAGACAGACAGAGATAGTGAGAGAGATCACAAGCAGGGAGGAGAGGGAGAAGCAG